CAGTTTATACTTTGGTTTTGGTATCAGTATAATAAATACTAGCCTCTGGGTGAATTAGGAAATTGTCACTTCTCAAATACCTTTTGGAGAAACTTGTGAAATAATAGTAATTACTCTTCTTTAAAGATTTTGCTTTTTTTTTTTAAATTATGTGTATAGTGTGGATCTCTGTGTGGATATGTGCACATGAGTACAGGTGACTATGGAAGCCTGAGGAGGGTGTTGGCTCCCCTGAAACTAGAGTTGAGGGTGGGGGTCACCCCTGAGAGCCATTTCTACAGCCTTTTAATTCGTCTTGAAATGTTTAGTAGAAGTTACCTATGAAGCCATTGGAGTTCAGGCTTTTCTTTGTGGACTTTTCTGGGGATTAAATTTGGGGACCCCATGCACATTCGGCAAGTGCTGTGCCTTGTGGGGCTTTTCTTTGCTTCTGAGAAAATCTCTGTCCTTGCTGGTCTGTTCAGTTCTTCAGCTCTTTTGAGCCAGTGTTGACCATTTCTGTCTTTCTGAGAACCCTTCCATTTCGTCTTTGTTACCTAATTTGTCGGCATACAATTGCTCAAGATATTCCCTGTGCTTCTAGTTCCAGAAAGTCGGTGGTCATGTGCCTCTTTTGCTGCTGATGTTAGTGATGAGGTCTTTTTCTCGTGGTAAGGCTAGTTAAAATCTTGTCTTGTTTCTCTTCTAAAGAGCAGTGTTTGCCTCCATTGGCGCTCTCTGTTTTTCTATCCGCTCTTTCTAGTCTCTATTTCACTGACCTCAGCTCTCAACTCCCTCCTTTCCTTATGATTATTTTGGGTTTGGATTCTCTGCCCTTTCTTGGTTCGTTTTCCTTCACTTTGGTACTAGGGATTTGTCTTAGTCAGGATTTCTATTGCTGTGAAGAGACGCCATGACCATGGCAACTCTTATAAAGAAAAAACATTTAATTTAGCGAGGCTGACATTTGCAGAGGTTCAGTCCATTATCCTCCTGGCAGGAAGCCAGGCAGCATGCAGGCAGACATGGTGCTGGAGAGGTAGCTGAGAGTTCTACATCTTTCAGGCAACAGGAAGTGGTCTATCTCACTGCGGGTGGCTTGAGCATATATGAGACCTCAAAGCCCACCTCCACAGTGACACACTTCCTCCAACGAGGCCACACCCACTTCAACAAGCCCACACCTCCTAACAGTGCCACTCCCTTCTTTCAAAGCAACACAGGATTGAATCCAAGCCTTTGCTCTATAACTGAGCTGTATCCTAGCACTTTTATCCTGTCTTCAAACTCAAAACCTTTAAGCCTCAAGTACTGAGATTGTGTGACCCACCTCACCTGGCTCCTGTGTCTGTATGTGTGTGTAGAAGTTGACACTGGATGTCTTCTACTGCTTCCCACCTTATTCTTTGAGACAGAGGCTGTGGTGGTTTGAATAGGAACCCCCCCCCCAAAGGCTCATGTGTTTCAATACTTGGCCCATTGGGAGTGGCATCTTAGGAGGTGTAGCCTTGTTGGAGTAGGTGTGGCCTTGCTGGAGGAAGTGTGTCACTGTGGGGGTGGGCTTTGAGGTCTCAGAAGCTCAAGCCAGTTCTTTTTCTGCTGCATGCTAATCTGAATGTAGAACTCTTGACTCCTTCTCCAGCACCATGTCTACCCGCACACGGCCATGTTTCCCACGGTGATGACAACGGACTGTACCTTTGAACTGTAAGCCAGCCCCAATGAAAAGTTTTCCTTTATAAGTGTTGCTGTGGTCGTGGTGTCTCTTCACAGTAATAAAAGCCTAAAAAGACAGAGGCTGTTACTGAACCTGGAGTTTGCTGATTTGGGTAGACTAGAAGGTCAGCAATCCACAGAAATTCTCCCATCTCTGTGCCCTTCCCATCACTAGTACTGGGGCCACAAGCATATGCCACCATGCCCAGCTGGGTACTGGGGGTCTGCACTCAGGTCCTAATGCCTGCCCATCAAGTAGTCTTACCAATTGGGTTATCTCCTTGGGTCTCCTATTCTTGTTTTTGTGAGACAGTCTCATCTAGCATAGAAGTCTCTTTATAGCTGAGAATGACCTTGAACTCCTGACCCACCTCTCCCTCCTAAGTGTTGAGATTGTAGTTATTCGCCACCACATTCAGCTTGTGCTCCTCATTTTTAAAGAGTGAGAGTATTGGACAATTTGCTAAAATAGTAACCACGAATTAAAAATTACATCATCAAAGCTGGGTATTGTGGGGTACCTGTTACTGTGCACTGGGGACGCTAAGGCAGGAGGATTGCAGTTTTGAAGTCATTTTGGCCATATATAGCAAGACTCTATCTTAAACATACATACTATGCCAGGAGGTGGCACATGCCTTTAATCCCAGCCCTCAGGAGGCAGAGGCAGGCAGATCTCTTGAGTTCGAAAACCAGCCTGGTCTACAGAGCAAGTTCCAGGACAGCCAAGGCTGCACAGAGAAACCTACAAATAGAAAAGAAAAGAAAAGCAGAGAAAAGAAAAAGACTATGCTGGGAAGAAGCGGCTTCAACAGCCTTCAAAGTAGACATATGATTTGATGTTTCACTTCAGAGCCTTGCTATTTTACACTTTTTATCTGCAAGCCAGAGCCTTCTTGTTTAGTTTAATTACCTCTCTTAAGAGACAGAGGATTAGAAAAATAGGCCTGGAAGCAGGGCTCAGGGGCAGAGCGCTTTCCTAACGTGATGAGTAATATTAACAAATCCATGCGCTCTAGAATCACCCTGAGACAAGGCTCCGGGCACACCGGTGAAGGATTATTTAGGTCCGCCTGTGGGCATGCCTGTGAGGGATTATCCTGATTAGGCTAATGAAAGTGGGAAGATTCACTGGAAAGAGGGCGGGGGAACGCTGTTCTCTGGGCTGGGGCTCTGCACCACTTAAAAAGAAGGAAGCTCTCTGAAGCCTGATCAGTTTCTCCTACCAGGACTGTCCTGTCCTGATGGACTGTTCCTTGAAATGCGAGTCAAAATAACCCCTTTCTCCTTTTATTTATTTATTTGTTTTGTTTTGTTTTTTTCGAGACAGGGTTTCTCTGTGTAGTTTTGGTGCCTGTCCTGGATCTCACTCTGTAGACCAGGCCGGTCTCGAACTCACAGAGATCCACCTGGCTCTACCTCCCGGGTGCTGGGATTAAAGGCGTGCGCCACCGCCATCTGGCCTTTTTTTCTTTCTTTCTTTCTTAAGATTTATTTAACTTTGTGTGCATTGCTGTTTTGTCTGCATGTATGTCTGTGTGAGGGTGTCAGTTTCCAGAGTTACAGACAGTTGTGAGCCTCCACGTGGGTGCTGGGTATTGAACCCAGGTCCTCTGGAAGAGCAGCCATTGCTCTTAACCCTTGGGCTATCTCTCCAGCCGCTCCCTCCTCCTTTTAAGTTACTTTTTGTCAGCGACGTTAGCACAGTGACAGTAACTAGTGGAGTCAGCATGCACAAAGCCAAGGGTTGGATCCCCAGCGTAGTAAAAACTGAGTGTGGTGGCCACCCTTGTAATGCTAGCCCTAAGGAGGCAGAGAGAGGGAGGAAGATCAGGAGTTCAAGGCCAGCCACAGCTACTTAGCAAGCTGGAGGCCGGTGTGGGCTACAGGAGACCCTACTTCAAGTAAAATAAAAATAAAAAGGACGCTGTCCCTCTGAAAGTAGCGATTTTCCTTGACTCCCCACCATTCACCTTCTATGCCCACCATCTCTGGAGCGCTAACCCTGTTTCAGTGTCTGGGTAGATTCTGCCACCCACCCCAGGCTCCCCCAGCCCCCCAATGTCTCCTCACGCCCCAGGAGCTGGCACCCTCCCACGCTGCCCTCAGTTTCTCTGACTGTGTTTCCTCAAATAGCCTTGATTTGTGCCTCTGGCGGTTCATCGCGCCCCGTCATCCCCACCTGGGTATTTATGCGCGTGTCATCACACCTCGCTCTCCTCTCAGACGGTGCGGAAGTTGGCACTTTGCAGAGTTTTCCTCTCCCTCCATCCACACAGAGAATAGCTGCTGCTGGTGAGGAGCACGAGACCAGGCATGAGTGCCTCCCGAGAGTGTACTGCCATCAGAAACTGCTCCTAAGCAAAGCTGGATTTGGAGCTGTCCTGGTACCAACCGGGGAGGGAGGCGGGCCGGAAGTGCAGGTGTGGTCTCCACCGGCGGGCACGTGTGTCTGCCACAGAGCCTAGCAAAGAGCTTTTTTTTCTTTTTCTCTTTTAACCAGTATACTAAATACCCCGGTACAGGGGTCACCCGGACATGATGTAGCTCGGGGACATGCCAGCAAGACTGCTTCCAGGCTAGAGCATCTTCCGATGCGGTGACTGGGTCCCTGTCGGTGTATTCTGCCTAATTCGCAGGACGTGGGGCTTCTGCTTGGCTCTAGAGACCTCTCCGATCCTGTCCAGAGTCTGGCTCACTAATTCCTATTCTCTCAGCTGCTCCAGTGTGGGTCGTAGACATTGTATTACAACCATTGTCATAGTGACTAGCTGTTGGGGACTCACCAGGTGACGTTTGAAGTGCAAAACCAATCTACCCGCTCTCCTCTCCAAGTACCTTCCCTGCAGCAGCACACACAGACTTCCGAAGGCCTTCTCTCCGCTCCTGCCAATCACTCTCCCGCGCCGCCGCCTCCGCTGCACCAGCCAGCTTTGCTTATCTCCCCCCTCCTCTCAGCCGAGCTGCTTCTGCCTCTGGAAAGGAGAGCTCTCCAGTCACGACCCAAGACAGATGGGCCTGGAGCCTTAGTGAGCGCCTCGCCAGCAGCGGCTGAGTGTTCTGCTTCCCAGTCGATCAGTCTTTCTGAAAACCAGCCTCCGCATCTCACCTCCAGCTAATGACATCTTCCCGGCTCTCCCCGCTGTGCCCTGGCTCTCTGGAGTCTTCCGGTAACTCTGGGCTTATGAACTGCAGGCTGCCCCACTCAATCGACCCATGTTGATCTCAGTCACAGACTCTTCATCACTGATTAATGATGGGCAGGGAGCTAAGTGTGCAGAGTTATCGCTGTAGCCATCAAATCAGATGTGGGCAGTATCATTAACGTCGTGTTATCATCATCCTGCCGTATGGTATTTCATCATGAACGCAAGTAGTAAGCCGTAGTAGTTAAGGTGACGTTTTGCTGATGACTCAGATCTATATCTGTAAATTAGATCTGACCTCTGACTCATAAATCAGTAGAACATGAACTTGGAACTCCGTTTCAACACCTGCAAGGTACTTATTTGGCCACTAGAAAGCAGAGGGCAGTGTTTGGGTCTGTTTCTTTTTCTGGGGAGCTTAAAGCTACCTGGGAAAGTGCCAGAGGGTGGAGGAGTCCCTAACACTCAAAGAGGAGGAAGACAAAGGTGGAGGCCATTGACTGACAGTCTACTGTGTGCTCACCACACTCCTACTGTGTGGGATCTTTTTGTCTACCTATGCTGGCTGGTTTTATGTCAACTTGACACAAGCTAAAACCATCTGAGAGGAGGGAACCTCAATTAAGAAGATGCCTCCATAAGATCAGGCTCTTTTCTTAATTAGTTATTTCCTTAATTAGTGATTGATGAGGGAGGACCCAGCCCATGATGGGTGGTGCCATCCCTGGGTTGGTGGTCCTGGGTTCTATAAGAAAGATTGACCAATCAGGAGTAAGCCAGTAAGCAGCACCCCTCAGTGGCCTCTGCATCATCTCCTATCTCCAGGTTTCTACCCTTCCTGCATTCCTGTCCTGACTTCTGTCAGTGGTGAGTGATGTGGAAGTGTAAGCCAAATAAACCCTTTCCTGTGGGAGCCCACAGAGGCTTCCTAGTGAGAATTTACTTAGGGTCAGAGAATCTGAGCTTGTTTTACCCAGCAGGGCTGCGTAAGGAGATGATTTGGCCACAGGAGTGTTTACCAGGTGTTTGGAAGGGTCTACACTTGGCTGTACAGTGTGCTTTGATCTTGGAAGGGGGGGTCTTTTGCCTCTCCCCTTGGCATATTATAAAAAGCCCTTTTGAATAAAGAACTAGGTACTGGGTATTGACCCAGGCCCTCCCAAAGCTATCCTGTGTCTCTGTCTTTCTCCTCATTGTCTAGGTCTTTCTTTCTATGTGATATTTTCTTATTCCTCTCTCCTTCACTTAAGAACCCTTCAAAAGGTGGGAGTAGGTCGAAGCTGGTCTCCCACAGACTCCCACACTTTCCTCCCCAAGTTGCTTTGGTCATGGTGTTTCATCACAGCAACAGTAATCCTAACTAAGATGCTACCCCACCTACAGAAGAGGACACAGAGCATGGGGGTGGGAGGGAAATATGGCAGCTTAGACATTACTGGAGAGATTGGGTGTGGTGGTTCATAGCTGTAATTCCAGCTCTTGCGGGGGCAGAGACAGGAGCATTTCAAGTTCTACATAGTTATAAGTCAACTAAGGCTACAGCAATATGTGAGACCCAGTCGTTACAAAGAGAGAGAGAGAGTGAGAGAGACGTGATACAGAACAGATTGAAGCAGAAGGCTGGCTGGATCCAAAACCTGTTTTTTTGATGCACGTGCATCTGAGAAGGAAGGCGGCTGCCTCATTAGAGCTTGGTTTTATTTTTACAAACGGCCAGCTCCCTCCTTGTCCATCCCAAACCCTAGCTCCTGTGGAAGACGTGTTGCACACAGCCATGTGCGCATGTTCGTCCGTGGGGGTGGTGTGTCCAGAGCCTGCTGGGGGCTCCTCTCTGCTTTAGAACATTTTTTTTGTTTTCTTCACCATTATTGTGTGTGTCATGTGTGTGATGGGGTGGGATGTGCCCAGGGACCATGGCGTACGTAACATGAGGAGGTCCAAGGACAGCTTCATGGAGATTTTTTTTTTTTTTGGTTTTTCCGAGACAGGGTTTCTCTGTGTAGCTTTGCACCTTTCCTGGAACTCACTTGGTAGCCCAGGCTGGCCTCGACTCACAGAGATCCGCCTGGCTCTGCCTCCCGAGTGCTGGGATTAAAGGCGTGCACCACCACCGCCCAGCTTCATGGAGATTTTTATCTTTTTACTTTCACCTTTACATGGGCTACAGGGATCAAATTCAGGCGGTCAGGATTGTGTGGCACACTCTCTTACCCAGTGAGCCTTCTCACTGGCCTGGATTCTTTTGTTCCCCCAGTTAGAATAATCAATTGCAAGGTCCAGCCTTGAATCCTAAAGGACTCCCCAAATCCCAGCCTAGGGCCTCAGAAACAGACTTGTGTGAACTCAGCCGTTCCAGGCTGGTGATCGTCTCCAGTTTTCCCTTGAATCTGGCATTCCACTGGTCAGCAGGACACATTCCCAGTCAAAGCTACATTAATGTTTGTTTTGTTTTTGTTTTTTAATTCACTTATGTGTAGCATTTAAAAATATATCACAGGGCCAGGGAGATGGCTCAGTAGGCAAAGCCCTTGCCAAATAAGCCTGGCAAACTGAGTGTGATCCTGGGAACACACATAAAAACCTGGATACAGTGCCACGCATCCATAATCCCAGCATACGTACAGCAAAATGGGCGATGGATATAGGAGAATCTACCAGAAGCTCTCCTAGAAAGTGCGATGGTGGAAACAAGCATGATCCTGCCCCTTCCTGGGAAAAAAAAAAAGAGGAAGGAGAGAGCCAAGTCTCTTTGAAAATTTGTCCTCTGACTTCCACATGGCCACACGCTCATATGCACCTCCCCTACAAAGTTTTGGGGAAAAAAATGAACTATGGGCTGGAGAGATGGCTCATCAGTTAGGAGCACTTGCTGTTCTTGCAGAGGACCTGAGTTCATTTCTCAGCACCCACACAGCAGCTCACAACTGTCTGTAACTCCAGTTCCAGAGAATCTGATGCCCTTTTCTGGAATCTGAGGGCATGTGTTACATATATGCAGGCAAAATACTTATACACATAAGAACTCTTAAAAATTTTAACAAATAAACATGACAGATAGTTTTTACTTTTGAATGTATACACACAACAGAATAAAAAGGCTGAACAGATATTTGGACACCAATGCTCAAAGGAGTATTATTACCAATAACTAAAAGATGGAAGCAACTCCAGTGTCTACTCATGGGTGGCTGGAGAAAAGCTTGTGGTCTATCCACACAGTGGAGGATCCCTCAGATTTCAAAAGGGAAGAAATCCCGTGGCAACCAAACGAGGCATGAACCTTGAAATCATACTAAGTGAAATATGACAGCAACAGAAAGACAAACTGTAAGATGAGACTTCCAGGAGGTTCTGGGGTCGGGAAATTCATAGAGGTGGAAAGTGGAACAGAGATGACCAGGGCCTGGGGGAGTTATGTGCGAGGATTACAGACGTGGGCTGGCGATGGTGGCGAAGTTCTGGCGATGGACAGTGGTGATAGCTACACCAAAATTTAACACACGTGATGCCACCTTGTAGGCTCCAGAGCACATTTTATGGTGTATACATTTTACTACAGTCTCTTTAAACATTTATTTATTTATTATTGGATTTGTTTGTTTTGTTTTGTTTTCTGAGACAAGGTTTCTCTGTGTATCCTTGGCTGTCCTGGAACTCACTCTGTAGACCAGGTTGGCCTAGAACTCACATAAAATTTTACTATTTGTCTGTGTGTGTACACAGGTACGGGCATATGTAGAAGCCAGAAGTCAACCTCAGGTGTCGATCTTTAGGAGATAGCCACCTTAAGTATTTTTAAATTTTATTATGTGGGCATGGTGGTGCACACCTTTAATCTGGGCACTCAGGAGTCAGAGGCAGGTGGATCTCTGAGTTCAAGGCCAGCCTGGTCTACAAATCGAGTTTCAGGACAGCCAGAGCTACACAGAGAGACCTTGTCTTTTTTTTTTTTTTTTTTTTTTTAAGATTTGTTTATTATGTGTACAGCATGTATGACTGCAGGCCAGAAGAGGGCGCCAGATCTCATTACAGATGGTCGTGAGCCACCATGTGGTTGCTGGGAACTGAACTCAGGACCTCTGGAAGAACAGCCAGTGCTCTTAACCTCTGAGCTATCTCTCCAGCTCTGAGAGACCCTGTCTTGAAAACAAAATTTATATATGTTATCTGTGTTTATTTGCATAAATTTATGTTCACCAAGTATGTTCAGGAGCTCCTAGAGGCCAGATCCCCTGGACCTGGAGTTTCAGGCAGTTGTGAGCCGACAGATGGGTACTGGGAACTGAACTCAGGTCCTGTGCAAGAATGGTAAGTTCTCTCAACTCTTGAGCCACCTCTCCAGCCTCCATCTTTTAAAAAAAATGTCCTTTTATTTATCATGTTATGTGTACAGGTGTTTGGCTATATGTACGTGTGTGTACCGCATGTCTGGTGTGTCTGGTGCTGGAGGAGATGAGAAGGGGCCGTGGGACTGGAGTTACAGACAGTTGTGAGCTGGCATGTGGGTGCTTGGAATTGAACCCAGGTCCTCCGGAAGAACAATCAGTGTTCCTAACCACTGAGCCATCTCTTCAGCCCCAGCACCTTATTTTTTGAGAAAGGGTCTCTCCCTGGGACCTGGGAGTGCTGACTTAGACCAGCTGGACAGCAAGTATCAGGATCTCTATGGCCTCAGAGCTGAGACTACCAGTGTGTACCATAGTGCCTAGCTTTTTACACAAATGCTAGGACTTAATTCAGGTCCTCGTGAGTGCTGGTTAGTTTTTCTGTCAATGTGGCACAATCTAGAACCACCTGGAAAGGCACTAATGAGGCATTAGCTACCATGGCATTGGCCCGTGGGCCAGACCATGGAGGACTGTTAATTGACGTCAAAAGTCCCAGCCCATTGTGGGCGGTACCATTCCCTGGAGTGGGGGTAGGCAGGTCCTAAGCAATGTAAGAAAGGAAGAAGCAAGCTGAGAGTAACCAACCACCAGGTTGTTCTTTCTTTGCTCTTGGCAGTGGATACAATGTAACTAGCAGTGGATACAAGGTAACTGGCAATGGACACAATGTAACTAGCAGCGGACACAACGCAACTAGCAGTGGATGCAATGTAACTGGCAGTGGGCACAATGTGACTAGCAGTGGATACATTATAACTAGCTATTTGAGTTTCTTCCTTGATGTCTCACCGATGCAGTTGTGAGCTACTTGACATGAATGCTGGGAACTGAACCCCGGTCTTGTGGAAGAGCAGTCCATGCTCTTAACTGCCGAGCCATCTCTCCAGCCCTCCT